CCGCGGCGCCCGCGGAGCCGCGGAGAGGCGAACTTGGAGGACAAGGCCACCGAAGCCGAGCTGCCTCGACCGCCCGACAGTCCGCCGGGTGACCTGTTGGGTCGAAGAGAGGGGTCGGTTTTTGGGCTCGTCTCTTTGATGCGAAGATGGAAGATCTCTCTCTCTCTCTCTCTCTGGTAGAATCGAAGAGCTGGGCGAAGTTTTTCTTGGGGGGTTGGAAGGGCAATGTTGGTGATCGCGTTCTATCTCTCACTTTTGCGAGCATACGGAACAGTTCCAAGTGGTTGAAGATGGTGTTTTCATCAGGTGTCAGGCAGCCGCTTCTCCGCTTATTCGATCCCAAGAGTCCGCCTCTTCGTCGCCTTGAAAAAGACCAGTGAGTGCCTGATCTCATCGATCAGGTGCCTGATCTTCACCCCATCAGAAGGGTCCAATTTCACGATGCAACACAGACCAATTAACATCTCCACTTCCACCTGACACCTGGTGAACCCCAGGAATCCCAGGCTTCCGTTCCCGCTTCGCTTCCGCTTCCATCTCCGTTCCATCCGACCGCCGGACCGACGTCCCGAGGCTGAACAACTTGGCCAAGTTCCGCTCGAAGCACGTGCGGCGCCCCGGTCCGTTCGGCTCGGGTCGGGTCGGTCCGACCGGTCGGTGACCTGCAGCGAAGACGTCGGGGGATGGACGTGGAGGGGCCTTTGTTTCTCACAACTCGGGTTCCACATCAGGGAAGCAGGTAGGTGACACAGCTGGTTTTGCTTCTCTGTCATGGTTTCCTTCCCGTTTTCGCAGAGTTCTATACAAGGACATACAAGGACATACAAGGGTGTTCGCTCTTGGGTTTTCCTTGGCTGTCCTAGGGAATTGCTTGAAGCGGTTCTCCAGGGAAGTCGCAAGTCGCTCGCCGAGCGCGAATCGCCGTGGGCCACGAGAATAAAATATGAATGTGGAGTTCTCCCCGAAGCTTAGAGTAGTGGCATGTACTGGCCAACTTTCCAATCGAGTTTCTATGATTCTTCAACCTTTGTGACATTGTGCACCTAGAGCCCTAGAACCTATCTCATTTCAGTTTCACAGTAACCATCCAAAAGACATCAAAAGACTTATATCCGAGAAACATATACTTTATTATTGATCCTTGTTCTCCAAAGGGGGGTCACTTGAGTTCCAGGCTCCAGTGTCCACCTCTGCTCCGTCCTGTTCCGCTCAGAAGCGGACGCAAGACGGCTTCCTCTGCGCCGCCGCCGGCGTTCGGGATGAACAGGCGCCGGGGGGCGGGGGGGTGCCCGGCCGCCCCCGCCGGGCACTTCTGCGCGAGACTCCAAACGCGCCCGGGGGCGGTGCCCAGCTGCTGCAGGATCCTTTGAAATGGAGCTTCGAAGACACAGCGACGGCCATTCTTTCGACCCCTTCCGCTTAGCTGGGATACTGCAGGGTTTGAAGTGAGAAAGGAGATCCCCAAAAGGGACAAAACAGGTTTTGATCCCTCCCAACATCATCTACAAAAACTATCGCCAGAAGCTTTGTGTAAAGGGGGATCCTCTAGTGCTGACTTCATGGTCGATGCTTCCTTCAGTGTGTATGGATGATGACAAACCAGAGGCCAACATTTAGAGGAATATGTTGGCTACACACATCTCATTGACGAACCTCAGAATCCGTTTCTTATTCTTCTTCTTTTCTTTTCTTTTTCCAGGTTTTCTAGTAGTTTGTCTGGCGAACAAGTCACTTGGAACATCCAGCACTTGTGACTGCTAGTCAGTGGCACAGCGGATACTGTCCTATGTCCTACCCAACATCCACATGTAAATGCACTCCACTGGTACATGGTCCATCGACTTGCCTCCGGCCTCGACGCAAGGCCTTCACAGGCTGTAGCGATTTGCCCGCGCCGGATGGCACCAACATTGGAAGGACTTTTGGGCTCGTACTCTTCCTTTTCTTGCTGTTGTCGGTGTTTGGTTTTTTGGATGTTTTTGGATGGGAGAAGGTGTCGATGTTCCTGATTCAGGTGACAGATTTTGCATGGAGGATCTCAAGCTTGGCGATTGATGGAGATAGGTTCATCTATAGAAAACATCTTCTTCTAGACATTAGGATTGTCACCTTAATTAGCCTACTGTGTTTGACTGTCTCGAATTGCCAACATCCTTGGTCATTCTTTCTCGCCATGCGACGAAGTACAAACACGTTCTCCAGGCGAACTGGGTGGACCGACCGGTGGACCGACCGGGGAAGGTCAACGGGCTCCATGGATGTAAGGGACCGGATCTGGCTCCTCCGTCAGATCCAAACGGTATGGACATCGGTGTGGAACCGCTGCTGCTCACAAGACCATTCCAAGGACCGTGAAACAAAAGACAACGAGTCTTTTTGGATTTACCCTGATGTATTCCTCGGCCAGCTGGACATGGTGTCGGTAGCCCTTGCTTTGACCCACGACCACATGGAAGACGTGGATGGCGGGTTGCGGCAACGGACGACCCTCAACAGACCGAAGGTGCAGGGGGAGACTCCACTCGTCCCCGTCCGCTGTGTTCGTGGGAGACTGCACCACCTGGACATACCTGGACCCTGAAGATTCCTGCGCTTGGAAGACTCCTGTTGCGTCGTCCTCTTTTGCGCATTTCATGGCCACCTTTTCCTTCCACCCAGTGTTTTCGGATGTTCCCCTGCTTTGAAGCCTCAGCTCACTGATTTTGACCGGCACTTCTGTCGCAGCTCTTCATCTCAGCAATGGCATTGGAACTCACTGATGGTAGCCAGTTCTTGAGAACACCTGGCTTACTGAATGAGCTAGTAAAGAATCGCTCGCGATCAACGCATCAATACAATCTCTTTGCACTAGGTCATAGGTCTGAAAGATCGAGCCGGCAGGAAGTGGTGCTATATCGAGCCATCACAAGTAGAGCAAGCAGGCGAGCGCGTGAGCTTTCGCGCATCCACTGTCACAGGTGTCTGTCGCTTGATGTTTTGATTGGTCAGAGGATGCGTGAGTTCCAACTTGCTGTTCCAGAGATAAACCGAGCAGGATGCCGTTCCAGTGAAGACATGTGAGTCGGATGTCGCAAGTTGTGCGCACGTCCACTTCTCACGTTACCTGGGCTCTATTTGCCTTGCAATTCAACCTTGAACTTTCTGGATCTTCTTGGAATTCTTAGGGTCAGGGAGTGCCGATTCGCCGCGAGGTCCCGTTCTTCCACCGCGCGCCGCACACGTGCAGGTAAGGAATGGGGATGGTGCCGCGTGCCGGGCCCCAGCGCGCAGAGTGTGCCGCGGAAGCCGTTTCGGGTGACACAGTGGACATCCGCGAAACGGTGGACACAGGGAATGACCCCCACATCCGTGTTGGTTCATTTGGCAGCCATGCTATGGCAAGCATCCCACATTCATCCCACAAGTGGAAAGAACAGGAAAGGTTTCTCAGATTTAAGACGAGACCTATGGTAGACTGTGGAGCCCAGTCCAGAGCCTTTGTGAGCCCAGGAATTTACGGGCTGGCCGGATATCGTGGATGGAGTTGAACTGCCAGCCTGAGCCTCTCGTGCTGATCCGAGACCACGCCAAGTGGTCCAAAAAAGGTGCGATGCAGCAAGTTTCAGCCGAAAACCACTTTGTTCCCAAGAACTCCACTGGATAAGCATTGCAGGCCCCTGAACCATGATGTGGAAGTTTGGGTGATTTGTGGGGACTTTGATCCCCTTGTAAAACCATAGGGGACTCACATTGGAAAGGATATGAAAGGATGCAACCGCCGCACAGCATAAATTTTGTCCGTACTTCACACGTGTCCCATGTGAGTCAGCAGACAGCTGCTGTGAACGTTTCAAAAGGTAGAGGCATCGGTCGAGGATCCTGAGAGTGGGTCGAGAAAAAAAGCCACGGTGTGGCTGGAATGTTGCATGGTGTTCATGGGGGGTACCCAGGCTTTTCTGACCCACAAGTAAAAATGGTAGGATTTTTCAACAGAACTTGAAGAATCAGTTCCTGGTCTTTCAGGAGCCCAGTCTTTTCAGAGGTCGACCTGTGGTCATCTATAGTGCCATAGGGCTGCAAGCACATGTGTTTTTGGAACGACTCAAAGGCCCGGAGAAAAAAAAAGAACAACAACTACGTCACCTCTGGACGTCTGACGGCTCTCGTTTCCTCTCGTTTCCTGGGACGGACGATCGTCCATCGTCCGAATCATTTTGGGCTCAGTCTCTCCTCCTGGGAGGGGGGGGCACTGGATCAGCCGCTCGGCAGGGGCACTGAGATGAGTGGACCAAGAGAGGGGATCATACCTAGACCATTATGACCCTTCAAAGGGTGTCGCCGGAGATCCCTGAGTAGCGTAGGGTAGTCCAGCCAGGACCCTTTTGGATGGGCCTGGTATTCTGGTTGGCAGTTTGGAGGACACTGGAGAGGTCCGAACGCAAGGTGAACGAGAGCTCGGGTGGCCACCGAGGTGGCCGCGTTCACGAGAGCGACCATTTCACCCCAGAAACCGTGATCAGGGAGTTTGCTCAAGTGAACCTAGACATGGTCTAAGTTGATGAACCATAGGGCTCTCATGCGAAGGGTTGTAAGTTACAAGTTGTAAGGAGATGCTCAGTGAGTCTATGTGGACTGCTAGACGGGATGTTGTTCCCTCCGTGGAATGCCATCGACCATCACGGAGGCTTACATTCAACCAGACGCCAACGCACAACCTACCCAGTCAGATAACCTTTACAGTGGTTTCAGAGTAGATGGCACAATCCCCAAAAGGTGGTTTATGTCGACCCCCATTTACAGGACATCTTGGAGTTTGTGCCATCTATTCTGAAACCACTGTAACCTTGTGGGGGACTGGGGAAACCTCACTCAAGTCCAACAGGCAGTTCCGTTCAATCCCATTTTCCCGGGAAAACACTGGCGGTCAGACCAGAAGCCGAAAGCCGAGTCCCAGCTCACCGCAGCAATACTAAACTGAGCTGTTCTTTCTCCGTTCTGAGAGAGCGAGGAACGAAGTGGCCATGATCCTCAAAGAAGGCCTTCTGGAAGAGGACGAGGCCAGATATTTGGCCTCCTACAATCACAGCGCTTCGCCCGCACGTGATGGGAGCGGGAGCTGGGTGAAGCCGCAGGCGGGCTTCAGCCGCCGTGCCGGTGGGTTTGGGACTGGTTGATGTGGTCGAAAATTCAGGTGATGGTTGGACATGATCTCCCCTAGTGGAGAAGAAAATTTGTGCCTGTTAGAGACCATGTTCAAAGAACTGAGCCTGTGCCCCAAAACCCGACTTCAGCGAGCAATTTATTGAGTTTCCGTGAACTCGTTCAGAACCCAGCGGTGGCTGAAATGAAAAACTCAAATAGTGGCAGGGTTGGTGACCTGATAGGCTATATACAGGTGTGTTTTTGGATGGGGAGACCTCCTGGCCCTGGCTGGGTAGACTGGTCTATAGTCCGAACCTGGATTGTTGGAGTGTCCTTCTTTCCCTCTGCACTCAAACCTGAAAACCAAGGCTTCAAAGGGCTCATTCACGGCAAGCCTCCGAAGCGCGGCTTCGAGTGTCTGGGCGGAATTCGGAAGAACCCTTCTGGCTGGGGAGAAGATCCAACGGTGACGCTCCGCCCACATGCCCGGCGAAGCCGATCTCCGACCCTTGGGACCCGTTTTGAAGACGACATGTCGATCCGTTGTTCGAAGGACGGGAGAGGAGGATGTTCTGTGAGAAGGACTGGTCTTCGCTTTTGGATGAGCCGACATTGAAGAAGGATCGCCGAATTAGTGACCGACAGTGAGTCTGATGAAGATTCGACGTCCAACCGGCCGACGGCAACGATGAAGGACCTTGTTCGAGGGAGGATGCGTGTCCAAGGTCTTTTCTCAGATAGCCCCTTCAGTAGACCTTTGCGGAATAGAGGACCCATTGATCAAGATCTCAGAATCCACAAGCGCCTTCCAGATGGTCAACTCCTTGCTTCTTTTTTCAATCATTTGGGGCTGCCCTTCACCGAGACCTGCTCAAAAACTTACGTGGCCGTTCCTAGGCATGGCGGGAATTTACGCCGGGCCTGCGATTGCACGTGGCCGGTGGCCACTTGTCCAATGGAGTGGTCGAGGCGCAGCCAAATGCAGTAGACATACATCGGTCTTGAAACCGAGAAGAGTGTTGGTTCAGCCCTCTCATGCCTGGACTATCATGGTCGGACAAATCAATCTTGAACATTTCCCATGTCCCATGGCAGCATGCTCAGCATGCTGGCCCAAGGCTTGTGGCCAGGATGCTGGCGAGGTTTCCTGATTGTACTTGGTATGGAAGACACGGAAGACGAGCATCCCCCCATCAGGGATGCCTTGTTGGAGCCATCCGGCACAAGTGAGGTTTTTCAACACAACCCTTCAGAAGCCAATGAGAAGCACGTCCGCGGCTCCAGTATTGGTCAACACAAGTGGAAGTTCCCAGCAACTTTGTCCTTCCCCCCTTCTGCGCCGCATCTGCTCCTTCCAAATTCAACCAACCCTCCCCCTCCGCCTCACTGCAGTCGCACCAGCGCATCCGCGGAAATGCGTGTCCGCGCCCAGGTAGTGACGTTTGTGCTGTCGCTGGCGGCCTTTCTGCTGCCGCGCTGGCTGGCGGCGCTCTGCGTGGTGGTGATCGTTGGCATCCTTTGTCGGCTCAAGGGTTCCCTTGGCGTGCTGCTGTTGAGCGTGGCTGGGCAGTTGTGTTGCGGATGATGGATTTGGATTTTGAAGGGCTCATCCTTGGATGACACTTGGGGGTTCAGGAGATGGGATGGAACTCGGGGACTAGGGAACTATGGAGGAGGAGCCGTAAGCCCACCAAGGTGGCCATCTCTCAGTCTGGACCCCGCTTCTGTCCGCCTCCGCTTCCGCTCGCAGGTGTTAGTTGGAAAGATCCACAAGAACCACCACGAGCGGGCCGTGATTTACTACAGTTGGACGCTTGGACCGCTTGGAAGCTTCAGAATTCCGGTAGACGACCTAGACTACGGAAGCTTTTTGAGGCCTGGAGAAGGACTGGAGGAATTACGTAGATACTGATGGACAAGTACACACCTGTATCGGAATCCACATGAATCAACAGATATAAGGAGTATTTGAGGAATTTTCTCACAGAGGCTTCCATTTTGACTAGCGTGAGTTTTTGGAGACCCAGAAGCCATAAGGTGGACTTTCTCATACCTCGCGAGCGAGTCGCTGCGCCGAGGTTCCCCTGCTGGAAGTTGCTGCTCTGCTTGTTGGGTGCAGTGAGCGGTGGCTTGGTAGGGCATCATCTTTGGGAGCACTACTGGCAGCAGTATTCGGAGGTCTCCCTCTTGAAGGCTGGATCATCAAGCTGCGTCCATTCTGTTCCTCCTTGACGGAATCTCTTTCCCATTTAAACCGCTGTTCCGAAAAGCATCAGCTTTAAGCACTACCCCCGGTGAGGTCACCAGTCACCAGTGAGGTCAGAGACCGGGACCTCGCTCCGCACCGGGACCTCCAGGCCTACCGCGGCATCGACCCCTCGGTGGTCCCGGGCACGCAGATCCAGGACGCGGGCGCCGTGGACTTCGTGTCCAGCGCGGGCATCGACTCGGAGCACGCCGGGTGCTTCATGACGCCCGAAGCACAGGGGAGGGGGAGGGGGGTTTCTGAACTGGAAGCGGCCGTTGATGGAAGGGACAGTCGAAAAGAGCGGTACAGTAGGGTCTGTGGAGTTTTTTTCCTTTTTCTTCTGATTGTTGAAGACTCTTAATTTCCAGCAACAGAAGTAACAGATAGTAACAGACTTATGAAGAGGTTTGTCAACCCATCTCATTCCGGGTGAACCGCACCGAACAACATTTTGGTCGTGCACTTGGGGTGTTAATTATGCCCGCCTAGTCTGTGAAATTTTGTACCACATTATCGTGGCCCTCAGCTGAGCAGAAACAGGCCTGCCGAGACCCGGGCATCTCTTGGGTAGAATTGGCAATTTCATTTATGCTGTGGTCGGGGTGGCCTTTGCCGGTTAAGATACCCGAAGGGGATTACCAAGTAGCAGTCCCCCTGACTGACGCCAGGGTGCAGATGCTGCCACCGAAAAAAACGTTCCTTGCGTGTTGTTGCTGAATCCTTTCGCCTCATTGTCAAACATTTGCAGACTCTTTCACGTTCCAAGTTTATCCCTGCATATAAAAAACAAGGCACGTGTAGTCTCCAGAAATTGGGTTTTAGCAACTACCATGAGGGTGGTATTTCACGACGCCCGATCTTGCCAAATGCAAAAGAAACATACTCCTTTATTTCCGAAATGATTCTTACACTGGCTCAGGAGCGACCGTTCCACACGGATTTTTCTCTACCAGATCTACCAGATAAGATAGATAAGGAACCATGGCCAGAATGGCCAGAGGTGGCCCCGAGTAAGCGTGATCAGTTCACTCAGCACATGCGCTACGTTATGTTCCGTAAGAAAGACCTCGATTCCGTCATGCATCCGGGCCCAAATTAGTAACTTCTTGCAATACCCCAACTTAATTCGTAATTCTGTGAAACCTTGAATCCTCCACTCATACGTCCATTTCGTAGCTGCCTGGTTCCCTGTTTAGTGAATTGTTTGTGATTGTGTCCGTTTCTGGTTTTAGGCTTGGTTTCACACCTCGACCACCCACCTAAACCCGCCAGAATACCTGGCAAGGGGTAGTGTGGGAGCGTGCGACCGCCCGTGAGTTCGTGCATCCAAATGGGGGGGCTTATTAATCAAAAGCTATCAAAAGTCTACATTGAGCTGCCAAATCAGTGTTTTCTTTTACTCCTGGGGTGACAGCTTAGCTGCTAGCCACGTGGGATTCGTCAGGCATATTGGGTGGATTGGCCCCGGTCCTGGTGGACGGTCCTTTACATGCCTTGCTGCATGTCTTTCTCTGCGCTGGGTGCTTGCCAAGGTGGATAGGCTCATCCAAGATCAAGTGTTGCACAGATTTCTTTCTTTTTTTTCTAGAAGATGGTCCAACAGCACACTGCTTCCCAGTGTGCATCCATCTCCGGCTCAGTATCATGATCCTCATCCTACCTTCATAACAGTATAAGATGCACAGCACACGCACACAGGCAGACATAGTCATGGTCAACATCATCTCCATCGCCATCGCCATCGCCATCACCACCATCACCACCATCACCATCACCATCATCACCATCATCACCATCATCATCATCAACAACAAACTTCGTTATATACAGCATATTACAGCAGCAGCACACTTTACTTTCCGCCATCCGGGATCAGATCACGACCTCATCCATCATATTATTATCCTGCATTCCACGCATGGCTGGCTGATAGCATGCACACAGGTTTGAGATACACTCATAGAAGCCATTTAGTTTATACACAGATGATCTGTGACAGATCTCATGTTGAAATTACATTTTGGGTCCCTACTTTGAGATAACACTTGTTGCTTGTGGGTTTAGTCTTTCTACTGCTTATGAACACAAAGATACCTTGTACATCATCAATGGGTGTTCACGGTGTTCACTGCTCTTCAAGCACATGTCGCAAAGCGTCGCGTGGAAATCACCTGAACTTGGCCTGGCTTCCTCTTTCAAGATCTTTCCCCAGCTGGCGAAATCGCTCCCAAGGAATGCCGGCCGCACTTATTGCATCGCACCCATCGTCACCAACGGGACCATGCTCCACAACATTGGCGGAGCGCCCCGCTGCTTGGGTGAAAGTGTTATCCTATCAGACCGTGGGCGTCGCCACTTGATGGGTGTCGTGCGGCCTCCCAACAAAAATCCACTTAATCAAAAAGCACATCGATTGTCCCACTATGGCAGTGTCCGCTGGTGCTTGGGGTTCAGAACCATCAACGGATCCCACCGAAGACATCTCCTCCGGGCCTTTGGTCAAGAAGGTGGGACTGGGGTGGGGTGCCAGTAGGGTCCGAACACCTTCTGAGGAGGTACGACTGGAGCCCTAGGGGGAGTGTACGCATTGATGATTTCAGGTTGGCTCCCGCTGAGTAGAGTTCCTTGGATCCTGAGGCTATGGGAGCTATGACTACTTTGCTGTCGGGGTCGACTGCTGCAGCTGTCCAGTGACTCGGTGATCCGGATTCGAAGGACGCACGGGATCACGCACCAAGTTCGTCGTTCGCCAAGTGGCGCCCAGGTTTGGGATTCGATCTGACCTTTTGTGGGCCAGGAAGTGTTCATAAGAATGGGTTCGAGGGAAACAGGATGAACCATCTGCGATTTTCTATGATCTTCTTGATTAGTCTGGCTCTGAGATCTGTCAAGCAACTTCTCAGCTGAGGTTCGAGCTTATGGGGTCAGCAGTGGCATGCAGCCAGACCAATCTAAACAACTAGACTAACGGTTCAAGTTCGTTTTGGGTCTGACATAATGATTTAACATCGTCTAACATCTCAGATTTCTGGGTTTCGGAGACAGGGGTCGCAGTTCAGATGTTTTATAGTGTCGAATTCACAGCATCCAATGCGGAAGCACAACATCCATTCTCCTCTATATGCCCGATGCCCGCAGAACAGCGGGTCCAAGGTTTCTATCGATGGGTACAACGGCCAAGTAGATGGGGTGAAGCTCTACTGCCCATTCCACCAGTGAGTACCTGAGGGAGCGCATCTTCAGCTTCTGAGGATCCCTTGACCCGCCTTTCATCGCCTCCCCGCTCCCAAACCACCTCGAATGGTGCCGACCACCGGTGCCTTTCATTGCTTTTCGGTGACACACCACTTCCGCTGCGGTGCATGCCCTGAGGACATCAACTTCCGCTGCGGTGCTTGGCGCCACCCCTGGGCTGAGGGCGGCATCCGCTCCACCGATCTCGAAGCACGGCCCTTCTACAGGCGCGCGGTGGCGTTCGGGTGCTACGCGTGGTGAATGGAGTTCGAGGGCGGGAAGGTTGACCGGAGATGCCGCCGCTTCGGACCGCCCGGTCCGCCCTGGTCCGCCCTGGTCCACAGGTGACGCGGCCGACGCGGCGACGCCAAAGCGCGTGGCAGGGTTTGGATGCGTAAGAACAGAAGGGTTCAGATCCGTCAAGGGGACAAGTCACCCAGAACTTTCCAATAACATCAATAACTAGTTAAACTCATTTTACCCCACCCTGGAAGTCACAATCCTCCACCTACCAGTTCGAGGTAAAAGGAGTCATTTGGACCCTCAGGAGTCATATTGCACTGCAGATGCTGGTGTCGATCCATGTGTCCCTAAACCCATTCGACAGCTCTGCGTACGTGGCGGATCTACGCGGCGCCGTCCTCCAGGCTCGCAGTGGAGGCTTGGGCCAGCTCCTATCGGAAGACTGCAGCACATCCCTTGTTCTTTGAGTGGGTGGAGTCGCCCGTAGCGCACTGGACGCTGGGCTTTGGACGAGTTCTGTGGGTGTTGAATGCGCCCTGGGGTCTGATGGTCATTGCTTTGGGTCGTTGGGCGATTTCTGTCAACGGATGGAGTTGTTGGATTTGTGGTGGAGGTTGGTGACGTTTCTTCCAAGTCATACAATCCTGATGTTTTTTTGGGGCCAAATACTTAAAACATGCACAAAAAATGCATGGCATGTTCAAGGTCTTCCAGATTCTTCCAGGATAATGAGGTCTTCACAGCTTTTGTTTCAATTGGCTATCCTTACGACAATTTCAAGGTGCTACTCATGCCAAGCTTCGCCATTGCAAAAATTGGCCGCATCCTGCAACGGCATGATGCGCTCTGTCTGGCTCTGAGAGCAACTCCCTCGTTCCTTTCTTCATGTGCCTTTCTGCATCAAACCCAGTTGAATAGAAACCCTCCGAGTCACTGAAGGAAGAAACCCTCCACCCACATCTACCAGCACCAGCCAGTTCGGAGGGTATTGGATGGTGGCAAGGCATATCCACCCGAACTGGCTGGTCCAAGCACTCCCCCCTGCTAAGCAGACGTTTCTTTTCTCTTTTCGACCAGATCTTCACCCACCAAAAAGCGTACCCTCCCTCCACCCAACATGGACGTTGCGAAAAAGGCACTGTTGAACCATTCCTCGCTTTGCCGCTCCGTCTGCGACCGGTGTTTCGACCGGACCGCAGCAAGGCATGTGTTTGGCCCACTCAAACGGGCGACCGACGCGGTGCCCTGCGTCTGTGCAACCCAAAACACACGGTGTCGGTCGCCTCCTCCGGAACCGCGCATGTTTCGAAGGAAGACACTGCGGCAGAACTTCTGGAAAGGCCTGGCCTTCTCAGTTCTGCTCTTCTCTGGTGCCATCTTCGCCTTCAGCTTGACCTTGGCGCGGCTTCAGCAGGCTGGATCGTCCGGTGGCGAATGCGCAGCGCAGGTGTTCCGTTTTTTTTTTGGTTCCTGCATCGTGGGGGGCAAGCCTGGCGAAAGATGGCGAACACTTGGAAGATGGGTCTCCAGGGCGACAGAATGCAACTTGTGAACTATGTGAGGACTGGTGATGACTGGTGAGCTCTTTCCCAAAGCAGTGGAATGGGCCGCCCGATGGAGATGTTGAGACGGTTCATTCAGGATGTATAGAATCTCTGGTATTGCATCATGACTGCACCAAATCTTGCATCATGACTGCACCAAATCATCGTCTCAAGTTTCAACTTACTTTCACGGACTTTCATCCTAAATGTCTATAGGCCAGAATGATGCCAGAATGTTGATACAATGAACCTATACCTAGACCCTGGAAGACGATCTTCTGACATACGAATCAACGACTTGGCCGGGTTCCCATGACCCCACCGACCACCGGACACACCACGCCGCCCCACCTTCGACCACCGGCTCCCCGACCGGGTCGACGAAAAGCGGCGCGAGAAGCCCGGGCGATGAAGACCTGCTGTTCAAGCTGTGCGAAATAGCGCGCAGAAGTTCCTGCAGAGAAGTTCCTGCCCAGTTCGGGGTCACTGGATTTGGGACCCGACCGAAGACCTACCCAGGAGTTCAGCGGATCAGCTGCATCGTTTGGGGAATGGGTTTCCCCACTTGTTCAACTCCAACAGGCAGGAAAAGGCTTGCCTTTCTTTTCGGTGGCTCCAAGGTGGGTCAGACTGGATCAGACTAGGTTGAAGACCCCACTCATTGGACGGTGTCTGGTCGTTTGGAGGCTTGGAGGGGACGGTTTCTGGTCGCAAACACCAGGTTTGGTCTTAGAGTCTTGTGCATCAGGCAGAATCACCCAGGTTTGGTCTAGTGACCCCGAAAGTAGCACGCGATCTCCGGGCGATTCATGGCAAAGTCATGACGCTTGCGACCTGGCGCCTCGGTAGACCCACCGGGACGGGGCTGGTGAGCTCGGTTCAGGCAGAACACACGGTGGGGGCGACCACCTCAGGATCAATTTCACTCAGAAATTATGATAGACTGTTGCCTGAAAGAATACGTCTATAATAATATATTATATGCATATATGCATATATGCATATATATATATACACTGTTTGTTCGGTCTAGATATAATCTCTTCTCAGACCGATCACTGTAAATGACATACTTAGACCTCCACTCGACAGATGTCACTCAACACGTCCAGACCTCAGAAATCTGCGAAGGTTCACACTGGAAAGCTGAAGGTGCAAACCATGTATCATCCAAACCATCGGTGCATGCATGAGTTTCTGGAGGGCTTAGAGCTTTGTAGGAAGCCACATGAGCTTTGATCTCCCCTTCCCCACTTGATAGGAGCTACGGGCTGGACCCCAGAAGTACCAGCGGTTGGTGTGGGCCGCATGTGAGTTCCACCAAAGCCAGCAAATCGCGTGTAGTTCTGCCCCTCCATTCGCAAGTGCTTTGCTGTGAATGCCTTGCCCCAGACGTTTTGAGATGCTTCGATGGACGGGCTTGGTGTTTGGCTGGCAGTTCTCCACGGATTTGGAACCTCAGCGAACTGGACTGCCACAAATACCAGCGTCTACGAATGGAGGTCTCCTGAAATTGGCATAGATCAATGATGATCATAGATACATTAGAGTTTGGGCAGAGCAACTGGATCAGTACATGGCTTTGGACAGCCAAGGTGTAAAGTTCTTTTGCGGCTGCTGCTTTGTCCGGCCCATGCTTGGAATCTGAGCGTTCGACCACCCAAAGACGGGCAAGTGCGGCATGCGGGGCAAATGCAGAAGCTGAAGCAACAGCTGAAGCAGCAAAAGAATCTGAGCTCAAACAGGGGGTGAAGATATCGAAAGAATTCCTTGAGAGTTGATAGTTTCTAGGGAAGGGGTAAACACTATACACCAAACTACTCATAACTACTCCTTGCCAATCACAACTAACATCGAAAAAACAAAACAACAAACAACAACACTGGTTCTATCAGTCTTGTAGGACTCTTCCTCAAAGCACTTTCTATGATTCGAATTCGCGCAATTCTACCCATTTTGGATGGTATAACTGTATACCCAGAGCCTGAGTGACCTAGCCTCTATTGTTTATATCACACAGTCCACCTCCCTCCAGCCCTGCAACCTGTGCCGTCGACCGGGCACCGTCCATCGTCTCGTCGGTGGAGTGGTCTCCTTTCTTTGGACGAGAATCCACTGTGACATGGATGAGACATTGACATTCACATTGACATCAACAGTCAACAGAATATAAATCCCTATATAGAAATCAACATTGAAATCCACTGTGACAGTGATATATGGAAAACCGGGATGTGGAGATCAATATCCCTATATCAATTTGATATACAAGTCGACAGTCTACGAAACAAAAGGATATAGGGACGGTGGAGAAGTCCACCGTGACATGTATTTCAATGCCCTATACAAATGGCTCCCTTCTATCTACTGGACATGATGTGCTGTTCATGCTGCCCTCGGAAGGTATAACAATTCAATGAAGCACTTTTTGAATGACAGGGCACTTTAGTCCTTTCGTCATCTGGTGATGTCCTCTTTCGAAATCCTCCAAGTCACGAAAACAGATCCATGTAAAAATGATCCACTCATCCGTGTGTCCTCACGTCCCGCACTCGACCTTCCAACAAATTCAACTCACCGTCCGCACCGTCCAAAGGACTCGCTGGCATGAGCTGCAGCGCAGCTTCGCCGCCGAACACGCGCGCGACGCGGACCTGTCCACGGTCTGGGCCCTGATCAACGAGGGACGCTTCACCGAGGCCAAGGCAAGACCCGAACGGTTGGCCGTCGCCGAACGGGCCGGTGCGTGACCAAACGGCTTGGGGGGGTCCCGAACCGGAAACGGTCGGGTGGTTCGGTGGAACCGGTGGCGTGAGGCAAGGCTGAGCTTGCTGAATGTCGCGACGGCCACGGGCGAAGTGGAGGAGCTGAGATGGCGAAGCTCGGTACAGTTGGTTGCCTGGGGACCGTCAAAAGAGATAGAGGAAGAAGTGGTGGGCTCCCTCCAATTCAGAGAAGAAGGACATTGGAATGAGCGCAGGACATTCTGAAGACCATTTTTTTTAGAGAGTTCTTTTTTGTGGGCCAAACAAAGGGAATTCCTATAGGAATTCCTCACCGAGCCGTGAAAATAGATCAACATGATCCACAGGTCTTCCTGGCCGCCCAGGAATGGGCCTCCAGCGCAACTGCAGCGCCGATAGCTGGCTCGCAGAGGTGGCGCTGAACGCCACGGACCGCGGCGCGAGCGCCTTCCGGCCAGCTGAGCATGCCTGGTGGAGCGATTTGAGGTCGGGAAGGGGAACAGCACGGGAACCCCCGGTGGGCACTTCAAGGAAGTCACAAGGAAGAATAAAACCATTCTGTAAAGGACACATTAACTGGGAGAAGCAGCGCTTTTTAAGATTCGGTGCCAGTCGGAGTCGATCGAATTCTAGGAGAATTCCCAGCACCCGACTCGGCCATTTCGACAGGTCTCGGGTTGGGAAGGGCCCTGTAGGAGCTCGAACCGTAGGTGGCCTGGAGGGTTGCAGGCACTGTTTTCTTTGAATTTCAACATGTACCAAGATCGATCTATTCCGAATGGCTACACATGCTCATCCTCCAGAAGCCCCTGCTTGTGCCCAAAGATGTTACTCTTACAGGGTTGTAGAGATTCTGCAGCTAGAAGATTCTTCTTCCAGGAGTTGATCACATACATGTCCCAAGCTTGATCACAGGAGTTGTTCCCTGTATGGCTAGAGGTGGAACATGTACCAAGTTCTATTTGTTCTTGGCTCACATTGGTATTCCCCATACATACTTGTAATCCTTCAGCCGCAACCTCTGAGGATGTGGCTCGCAGCCATTCTGCTCTTGGTGGCCTGGCGATGGCGAAGAAAACGAAGAGACATGGGTTCCCACTAAGCCCAGTTAGGCCTGGCCTCTTCGACATAATCTGCACCCACCCGAGAACGGCCTCGGTCTGGTCGCGCTTTTCAGCGGGTTGCGGGCGCGCTGTTCACGCGGAGGGGAAACATTTTGGGGAAGACCAAGACATGGAAAAGCATCACATGGTCCTTGGTTTGGAGTGTTTGCTGATGCCCAACAAGTCCCTGGTAGAATGAGAGGAATTAGACCAGCCAGCCACATTGACCATTTCACACTTCCAGGTGTTGAGCGGGCTGAGGGCATTGTTCAGGAGGAGTGAGTCACCAGAGGGCTCTGCTCCAAGTCAGCCTACTTCAACACCGTCTGATGGATTCGATGGCAGGCGCGGCAGGAGCCGATGGCCCGTGACGGGGGCTAATGATTCAAGCAGCACATTGAACTGAAGCCAAGGAAAGAAGCTGTCATGGGATCTCCAGCTTTCGTCCAATTTGGAAGGACTCCCCGAAGGTTCTATTCCCGATTGGCCAAGAGATCTGAGAACAATTCTGGCTGGTTGGGATGTTTTATTTACATGGGATGTATCTTTCAACGATGTTCAACATCCTTGCTTTCATGCTGATTTGTCTTCACTCAGCACAAGGATCGCACATTCCCTTCCTATAGATCATAGATCTTGATTGTTTCGCCTGATGGACCTCTGTGCCTCTGTGGCAGAGTGCCAAGTGCAGAAGGGCATGCCACATGGCTACTGAGGTGGAGACTACAACCTCATTGGCAAGATCCAGAGGAGAGTGAGAAGGAGGAGGATCTTCCAAAGGTTCCGGGTTGTCCAAACATTCGATTAGACTCGACGACTTGGGGGCGGGGCGTTATATTTTTGTTTGTCCTAATCTTCTGCAGAGGCTCTATTTGTTCAGCACCATCGGGTTGGTATTGAAGTTTTGGAGTGAACAAAAGAAAGAAAGAAACTAGTAGCAAGAAGCTACTAGTAGCTCCTGGCAGTTACTACTAACAATAAGCTATGATCGGAACCATTGCGACGATTTCTCAGACGAAGTGACGAAGACGTGACGGCTTGACACGTCCCTCAGGAGCTCGTCCCTCCGGAGACGGTCTTAGATGGCTTCCTCGAGCGGAAAGAGAGTCCGCAGGTCACGGTGGCGGAAGGGGTGCTGTCCACACCGGCGCGGGCGCCTTCGGCGCCTTGGCTGGATGGGGGAGGTTCAAGGGCGCAGGTAGAGAGGCACTTTCTGGGAGTTAAGGTGATCGTCCGTCCCGCAACATGTTGCAGGTGACAGAGGCATGAAAACCAGGTCCAGTGGTCCAGGTCCAGGTCGATCTACAGAACTTTTAATTGGAAGTCAACGTCGTTTCAATCAAAAGATTTCAAAAGATATCAATCTCCTCCCAATTGCTTCACTGACCGTGTTTTCTTAGAGGGGCCACCTAAGAAAACACGGTGAGAAGATACGCGCCGTGGGGCCTCCAGTCTCAGCTTAAGCCCGGGTCGAAAAGGATCCATTTCTCCGGTGCCGAAGCCTTCGGGCGGTGGTCGCTTCGCCCCACTAAGCCGCCTCAGCCGAGGTGAAGACTCCCACCTTGCAGCTGGAACCTGCCAGAGCTGGGCATCCGCATCCGAAGGACATGGATTCCTTGCTCGAGACCGAAGAGACCGAGACCGGAGCCCGCCTGGAGGCAGGGTGTCTAGCTGGTCGATCTTCTCTGCATCTGTTTCAGTTCCTATTCCGAGGCCGGTGAATCAGGTGAAGCAGGTGAACCCCACGCTTTTTCAGATCCCTCCAGTTTTCCAGCTCCGCATGCTCCGCTCTCGCACTCTTCGCTCGCCGCTCCTGCCAGCACTTATAGTTGCGTTTCTCCTCCATCTCACAACTCACAACTCGCTGGGAGGAGATCTCTCAGCGCACTCTCCAGGCCCCGACGGTGTGGTTTGCTGGGCCGGATGGCCCACGGCGTGCCTGGACGGAGGCCGAAGTCTTGAAGCCAAAGGAGCGACGTCCGTCAAAGGGCCGCCACCCTCACTGGGATTTGGGCGGATCTCTTTTCTTGGGTGTCTTTTTTTTCTTGGGCGTCTTTTTTTCTTTGTGGTCTTCGATTTTTTGTTGAGAAGTGACATGTAGAGAAGTTTGTGACATGCGGTGTGCACTGAACGGACCTGTCTGCTATCGACAATAGAAAGAAAGTGGCTTCGTGAAATAATTACCCTCCAAGAAACCGATGGAAGGTAGGAGGGAGGCTATCCACTTCCACACATTCTTGGAGTGTTACAAAAAATACAGTCATTGAATCCTATTGAATTCATTGGAGCTAAACACATGTCACATGTTCATCATGTTCACATACAATTGTACAATTCATCAATTTCACACTTCGTCTCCAGAAAAAGACGAACTGAACTCGAGGCTACTAGGAACTCGGCGTCCAACCCTCCTGGTCAGGTTCTTTGAAGGTGATGTATGTAAATGGGGTATGTCAATGGTTGGCCCTGAGAAATGAACAATGGACCCTTTTTCTTCGTACATGGTGCCCCTTTTTGTTCAGCTGGTGGCAGCGCTTTTGCGTGAAGAGAGATGGCATTTGGGAAAGAAAGGGAGACCATCCGCTTGGTGCAAGTGTTGCAGGAGCTTCCAGATACAGGAGAGATGATGAACTTGGTACAGCATCTACTTGAGGAAGAAAAGCCGATTTGGAGTGAAGCAGTTTCAAATTCCAGCTGGCAATGGGGCTTCTCGAGCACAGGCGAATCTCGATGGGGAGTTGTTCTGTGGCTTGCGTGTTATCCACCTCCTTTCTTTTTTTTCCATTGATTCAGAATATGTCAAGGCAGTCGCTTGATTATACAGGTGTGTCCTACCTGGTCTTTTCCGCGTTTGTTCACAACCTTAATTGAATTGAGTGTCGCTGAGCTGGATACTGAAGAGTATGCGATCCAGGTACTTTAGTCTTAGGTCAGCTTTTTGCCTTAAAAAGGCAGATGAACCCCCTCCTATTCTTATTCAAATCAGCGATGAACAAACCTGCAATTTACAAGCCTGACAGTTAAACATGTCAAGCAAACAATCCAAATTCATCCAAAGTCAATGGATGCGAAAAGCTTACACTTGGGAGAAACGGCTTCCATCCACTCCATGTGGTTCCGGCCTTCCGCGGCCGGCCGTTTTGTTGCGCCATGTCGCTAGGCCGTTGGGCGGACGAAGTGCTACAGGACGAGGAGGTGCCGAATGAGGCGAAGCTCCGTGGAGATCCGCCGTTCCCCGTGCCTGCGGGACGTGTGGCCTCTCAGGAGCCCTGGAGAGCGGGGAAGAGCGGAAAAAGTCGACGACGCGACGCGAGTCGACTCGCACCGCTGCCAGGTGTGATCATGTGTGACATACAATTGTAGATGCGAAAGGGAGGTTATGAAAGCGGTGTGCCAGAAAGAAGTGGTGTTGCATTCCCATGGCCTTGCCAATACTTCAAGAGGTAACAGTTCATTGGGTTGTGATCAGTTGTGATCCCATGGATTGCCCTGTTCAGGACAGATCGTGCAGTTGGCCGCCCAACGAGAAGCCCTCGCGATCCCAGCAGAGACGTCGCCAGCGGAAGAACTCTCGTGCCAACCGAGCCGCCGCACGCAGCGCCAGCGCTGCGCCAGCAGCGCCGGCAATACGGGTCCTACAGTTGGAGCAGCTCTTAATGCTACCTCCAGTGACCATGGCGCAGCCAAGACCCGAGATGTCTCCAGTTCCTCTGATCTCTCAGATTCCACTTTTGCCCATCACTTCCTCGCCGCCGATCGCTCCCAGTGCGACCGCTGGCCTTCCAGAGCCGCAGCCGATGCCTTCGGCACCGGCGCGGCCGCGGGAAACGCGCCGCCGGTCGCGCCCACGTTCGGATCGGGCACAGGGGTTGCCTGTGCCGAGTGGGCGGGCCTGGCGTGGTCGTCGAAGCATTCCGGAAGGGGAAAAAACAGAGGAGGAGGTCATGGATTGGACTAGGGCGATCCTCCAGCCACTGGGTTCTAGGAGTTTTTACCTTTTTTCCCGCAACGGGTCTTTGGGGGGATCTCCCTATTTCAATGCAGATTGCGCGACGGTGGCGTTGGGTGTGTAGCCACTGACCCATGGGCGGCACGGTGGTCCATGCATCAGCTGGAAAGCGTGTGGGTGAGGCAAGCATAGGCAAGCGCAGAGTTGCGTTGGGGCAGCCTCTTATTGATAAAGATAGACTCTTCATTTGTTGGAAGAGCAGAATGAACTCATCATATAATCGATATGACCATTTTTGAAGGGCGCCCTTATGTTTGGAAGGAGGTAGTGGAAGCAGAATCATATTACAAGAGCAACCAACTTCAGCGCTCAGCAATAAGCTCGCATCAAAGGTGTGCGGCGATGGACACATTATCCACTTTGCTGTGGTCCTACACTACACCGCATGAGATTGTATAAATTTGGGGATTGAAACCCTGGATGTAGCCTTGTCAACCATGTCCTCCTACAGTATCTGTTCTTCTTCAAGCAGTAGCTTGGTCCATTTTGCCCAACAAGTGAATCACCCATGTTGGGCATTGCGGTAGACACCGTGGGGGGTCTTAGAACTCCCCGTGCCGTGCCATAGAAGATACAATGGTCCAATGTTCCTCCGCGATCCTTTGAACACCTTGAGATCTTGGCCTACTCGGGTTTTCGGTCCCATCCGAGTCAAACGGCCGCCTGAGGCCGCCAGTTGCCAACCCAACCTGCCACCACGAGTCCAGCAAACTTGACCTTTTGATCCTTCCTTTCTTGAAGCACAAAAATGGAAGACCAATGATAGGTACAGCCAGAGGGGGGTCATTATACCCTAAGAAACAGGAGACAAACCAAACCGTACTATTGGTGAGTCACTAACCATTAGTTGAGAAACATGGAGGGGATTTTCTCATGTTTTCTCCGAAGTGAACCACCAACCCTCTATTCTTTCTCCATGCCAGACAAGCTGTTGAACCCCCCCAAAGCTGAAGGTCCAGCAGCTCACCCCACCGGCCGCTGGATGGCCTCCAGCCTTGCTCCCAGGCGCTGGTGGTGCATGGCTGGGCTTCGCCCTGGTGCACTCCAGCGCCGCCGCAGGGCTTTGAGACCGCCTGGGAGCGCTGGTTGCCAGAGATGATGGAGAGCTATAAGGTGGGGCGGCTATGGCAGGTCACACCTGGTGTGAAAAACAAAGGAGAGGGAGACCTCCCAGGGAGACCTACAACCCATCAAGTTTCCAACGACCCATCAAGTGTCCGACACTCACATCATGTCCGACACTCACATGTCTCATGGGGCTGATGCAACGCGCTTTAACCAACCGTGTGTGGGAAAGGACACCAGCTTAGCACCAGGTCACCAGAAGGACTCATACGGTTGGGCACAAATGTATATATATATATATATATTATAAAATCCAAAGCATAGCAGTACAATACTCAAGATGTTATTGGCATTTTTGGAGGTTCACTACGGTGTGAGTGATGGCTTGTTTGGATTTGACGGTCGGTTGGGGTCTTGCGAGCCTGTGGACGGTCGGCAAACTCCAGTTGGGAGTGATTCCGACCCCAAATCTGTACGGAGGTGCATGCGAACTCAGCTGTAGGATGGCGCACCACGCATGCAACGACCCGGAGCGGAGTGTGGTGGGGCTTAGGCCAATGCTAAAGGCATTATATAGGAGTGGTAAATTCCATCACAACATGTGTGGTGAAGCAGCCCCAGTGGCAAAACGATACTCAGGAATATACTCTCATTTAACTGCCGGTGAATCAATATGGAGGCAGTCAAACTGGGTGAACTGAAGAACTCCAAGCTTGTGCTTTCCGCCGTACAAAGAGGCTGCTCACTCTGAAGACCTGCTCAACGGCCCTAGACTGTGAAGACTTAGTACGGTAGTTCATCGAAAACGGCTCTAGATTGTTCTGGTACCCAACTTGGGAGTTTTCCAAGTTGGTACGAGGACCCCCCCTCAAGGTCACCATGATCATTCCTTTGACATCGGAAACGGATCACCCTTGCGTTTCAAGAGCGAGCGTCCCGCATCCTGTGTTTGAGCCATGTCAGGAGTCCATGTTGATGCCGGAGGCTTCTTTCACTGAGAGCCCGGACAGCTTCTATGGAGCAGTCGACACCTCCTCCAGCTCTGCATAGAGATCATCTCTTCGTTCGCTGGAACAGCTTTCGGGTGTCACGAGGACGAGTGGAGAAAATGGCGGAACTGGTGTAGCAGAGGAGATGGGCACAAGAGATTGATCCAAGACATGCTGAACAAACATGCTGTCATGAGGTGGCCTCCGTGTCTACCAAGAACTACCTGTCAGAGGGTCATTTTGCAGAACTCGGATTTTGGACTGGGGAAGCGCGTGGCTAGCAGGAGGCATACCTGACCTTTGATATCCTGGGATTCTATTTGATTCATATGGATCAGGTAAACATCTCCCAAAGAGCAGTGCCCTGACCGTTTTTTGCCAAACCTGGAAGTCTTGAATTTTGTACGCTCAAGCCCCTTGAGTGGCTGAAATCAGCGAGATGTGCAGAATGCCTCTGCATCTATCCCAATCAATGCATTTGAGACACGTCGTTGAGAGGTGCCTCCTGCCTTGTATGAGCTTCATAGACCTTCCGAAAAGATCCATGAGACGCATATGAGACGATCACTTAGATCACTTGATGACTAGCAAATGGTAGGGTGTGGGAGTTTTCCTTTTTTTTCCCTGCACTCTGTCGGACATGCAAAAGCATCGAAACCCCACGAGTCACAAGTGTTTTATGAAATCATCGACACATCCATGTCTTGAACCGCTTTTGTCTGAAGCGTCAAATGCCATGAATGAAGCTCTCTGATCTGCGGTGGGAACCTTGGACGTGTTGCATTTCGCCGGGATGTACCGGCCAGGATTTGTCCGAGAAAGATGTTGGTCTTGGAGCTTTTTGGGGGGGCGTGACATGTGATTTTGGAAGTCTCAGAAGAGGAGACCGACGGATCTTACATATAATATCTCTTGAGGAAAGCTGGTTGCCATAGAATCTGAATTTGTAGAATCTTGATACATTCTTCGGGGTCTTTTGCATCTCAACTGTGACCACCAGGACCGTGGACCATGACCCAAGGCCCTTGCCGTCAGTCTACCTGCTGAAGGCTTCACAGAGAGTGTTCGGACTCCCGGGCAAGTTAGAGGTATTTTTAGATCATTTGGCCTCCCAAATCTCTAGTCATCTTCAAGATGTCAAGAGTTTTCAACTCATCTTCCAGTTTCAATCTGTAGATCGTTAGATGGTTGAGACGAAAAGCCTCCAAAAGATTGATCGCTCTTCTTGTCTTTTATGTGTCACAGATCTGGCGTCAGTGGGTGGCAGGGCGTCAGTGGCACAGGTGGCACCACGTGTTCATGGCGATAAAACCGAGACATGTACCACTTTGACCAATCAATACCTTCCTCTCCAGCCAGCAACGGGGTTTAACATCCAGATCTGTGGAACGCCATAGGTTCTTTTCGCGGTCAGGGACATGCGGTGTAGCAACTGGGTTTGCGATCAACTCTTCCATCTGCCCGCCACATCCTCCAAGCGATGAGGAGCTAGGCGCGGCATTCAAAGCCTTTGATGGCTAAAACATGTTAACACAAAGCCGGACAAGACTTGCTTGACGACTTGGACTGGGAGATCCCCCCCCTGGGCATCTACAGTAGATAAGATAGTTGAAATGAGAATGCCTTCTTTGTGTCAAACATGTGAGGATCTTGAAGATTCGAGAAAAGCCATGAACGACGGGTGGGAAGTAACAGGAGACAGTTCCACTTGAGACATGGTCAGTTGTAGCTAGACCCCTCCGTGCCGCCCCAAAAGCTGGTTGGTGGTCACATGATGAACATGCACCAAATGCCAGAAGCAAGGGCGAACCAATGCCATTTTTCAAAATCAGAGCTGGAACCACAGATGTGTTAAAGCATTACCAAGCTTCTACAGTGCTGGCAACAGCTTTATTCACCGATCAAAAAAGCTGGTTGGTGAACGACAGCATCCAAACTTTGTAACCAAACCCAACTGCCTTGGGTTTCGTTTTCCCCTCGGACCAAAGGTCGAGGATCTATGAGAAGCTCGACCTGGGCTTGTACGAAGAGGCACATGACCGCACGTGAGCTCGATGGGTGTTTCTTTCTATCCGGTGCGGCTTTTTTTGGTTTTGTTTTTCCTAGATATTTAGGGAACTAGGAGCGATGGCCTCCAACCTAATAGCTAAACGATATTAGACCTTTCTTCCTTGTCTTTTTCCAGAAATCTGGTGAAATCTGGTTCTTCCAAGGGTGTGGGGGGGTGTGGGTCTTTTCTGGTCCAGACCAGGTGGGAAGTCTTGTTCGCCTTCAAAAGAGATGGCTTTGGAGACTTCCACACGACCGACGTGATCTCTCCACCCCAGCAGAACACGGGTCTCCTACTAGTATGGTCTAACCCCATGAGTCCAGCTCAGCAGGTCTAAGCAGGTCTAAAATGGTCCAAAGGCCTATGAAATGGTCCTGGGTGCAAAGCCTTCCGGTTATCCATTCGCGTTGTGAATTCGTTTCGATCCCTACAGCAGCATCCGAAGTTTTGTGTTTTTTTCCTCCAGAACAAGCCTCAAACCGCAGGACTTGAAATGACGGAGCCTCAAACCGCAGGTCTTACATAGCGATCCTGAGATCATGCCAAGATCCATCCAAAAACGAGGCACTCCAAAGTCGACTCTGGGTGGTGGAGTCTCTTCTCGTCCATTCGAACCGCGTCTCTTCACGTCTCAACCCTCCACCGGTTCCGCCGGTTCCGTGTCTTCCGGCCCTCGGACCGGTGGACGTGGACGACCTGCGCCGACCCAACGGGTTCCGAGGCGTTCCGAGGCGTTCGAGGCGCTCGTGGCGTTGGTTGGGTCGGAGGAGACGAGGAAGGAGTCGGACAGGATTTCTCGGTAGCCAAGTCATAGATCGGCACTCTTGGCTCAAAACAGGATCAATTTAAGGAAGTGGATTGTGATCAGACTTGCAAGGTCTCCATCAGCCTATCAGGCACTTGCCATCATACGATTTGGAGGCCAGGAGAAGCATTCAAGGCATCCCTTTTTCACTGCCACCCCTTCGGCAGCGGTGCCATCCCTCGGCAGCTGAGCCATGGTGGCCAAGATGAAGGTGTCTTGGAGGGAAGATCGAAAAAGGGTTGGATGAATCAGAACCTGATTCAGTACACCTTGATTTTAGCGTGTCTGAGCTATTCTTTCAGGATAGGTTTTGGCTTGCATATCATGTCCTGCTGTTTTGGTGTGTGTCTGTCTGTCTTGCATGTTCTGCTGACAGGAGGATAATCCCTTCAAGCTGCCTTCGGATGACCAGATCTTTGCCATGCGCGAGGAAGAGCGGCAAAGGCGTGCAGAAGAGCGCGAGCGAGTCAAGCACCAGCACGTGTGGGAGAAAGTGCATCTTGGCAGAGAAGGTGCAGGTCTTGGGCTTTTCTGTTCAGGTGCTGTAGCACATATGACATATGAAGAGAATATGTCTGGCACACAGAACATGGTGATTCCCCAACTGCCGCACTAGTCCGACAGTCTAGAGTCTGACGAGCGAGCCTGACGAGCCGAGGGTGCAGGCGAGACATCTATATATAGCCTGCAGGAAGCGGTTCCAAATGGTGATTCCCCGAAATAGCGATGGCCCCCAACCTCAGAGCGATGGCTTCCAACCTAAGAGCGATGGCCTCCAACCTAAGAGCGATGGCCTCCAACCTAAGAGCGATGG